GTTGTTTAGCCTGGAGCAAAGGAGGTTTAGGGAAGACTATTGCTTTCTACAACTACATGATAGGAGGTTGGAGCCAGGTGGGAGTCGGTCTCTTCTCCCAGGTAACAAGTGATAGGACAAGAGGAAATGGCCTCAAGTTGTGCCTGGGGAGGTTTAGGTTAGATATTAGTAATGATTTTTTCACAGAAAGGATTGTTAAGCACTCGAACAGGCTGCCCAGGGAAGCTGTTGAGTGACCATCCCTGGATGTATTTAAAAGATGCATGGATGGGGCACTTAGGGAGATGGGTTAGTGGTGAACTTGGTAGTGTTAGATTAATGATTGGACACAGTGATCTTGAAGTTCTTTTCCAACCTAAATGATTCCTAATTTCTTTTTTTCAATATTTTTTTTGTATATTTTTTTTTCCAAAAAGAATCAACTCATCGTATTTCCTTATGTATTCTTGTTTTCCTATGTCCGTTAGCCGAAACAAAATACCAGTCAAAGTCTGTGGTCTTGCAGGGATAATTCCCAGGGGTATGTACTAAAGTGTGAGCTAACTTGCATTCTTTTACTAGCGCTGTGCCTGTAGTAAGGTGGTCTTTGAATAAAACATGCGTTGCTTTTTCCCCTACTTTACTATCATAAAAAGAAAGAGGAAGTTTCAAAACTGTTGCGAAATTAAAGGAAGTAAACATCACTGATTGGGAAATTTTGCAATTACCATAGCACAGGGAGGGGAGAAAACCCAAAACGCCTAAACCCCCTTGTTATTAAAGAAACTTAAATAAAAAAGCTCAGTTAACCTGTGTCTTCCTCTTATAAAGAAGGGATAAAGACTACTTATCACCATGTTTCTGCATGTACTTGGAATGTGTAACTACAATTGAATTATAATCAACAAAAATTAACAGTGCTAGTATTTCAGTGTGGAAAATGGAATACCAAACCTGTAAAACTGGTTTAGCTGATGCAAGAAAATAATCCCAGTATTTATTGTATGTCTTGGATATGATAGCAGGGAAAAAAGTTACTATCGGAGAACTCTGGTAAAATTGTAGGAAAAAATAAAAATAAGTTAATAAAGATGCAGTGTGACAGATTGCTAGTATGGGAAATGGGTTTTGCCAAGTGGGTGGAGTCTATAGAAATGCAGTTTTATTATGCTATGCCATCATCCTTTACTGAGGTTTTGTTTTACTTGGCCACAGTTTAAAAGAGAGGTTTTGATAATGTGGTCATCTCAAAATTTGAAATAGTTTTGTGAACCTTTCAGCAAGGGAGCATAGCACAGGTGGTCACTGGCATATTGGATTGCTGTGTCTGGCTGGGTGAGTAGATGATTTTACCTTCTCTGACTTGCTGCCTTTGGTGAGCAGGAGAACACTACCATTTGGATTCACTGGATGTGATAGGTCACTGCCTTGACAATCAGCATCTTCTCTGGCCCTGCCACGTAACATCTATTCTGGATTTTGCTGTGGTGGGGGTGCTATCTTGAAATACAGCAAACCCACCAGTCTGTCTGTTCCAGGAATGTAAGACTTGTGGTCAGGCACAATCTTGAATCTCTTGATACAGAGGGCTGGGGTGGCCAGATCAGGGTGGGGTTTGTTTTGGTGGTGTGAAACTGTTTGCATTTGTAACAGGTGAAAGCAAGAAACCTCTGTTTAGCAGTGGCTTGGTATGTATAAAAATCCAAATTCTTTTGTTAATGTAAAGAAGCAGTTTTAGAAAATGAAAACTGAATTTCCACCTTAAATCCTTCAGCAAAGTGCTTTTTCCTTGTTTAGAATGCTTGATAGATCTTGAGCCAGTGCTGCGAACGTTTGATGACATAGCAATGCTGGAAGCAGTAATTCTGTTGAAGAGATCAAAGGTAAGTGGATTTTCTTACAGTTATGGGATGGTGAAATAAGTCAGTAACTTTTGGTTGCTAAAGAAATGTAACCTCCTTTGTCATTGATCTGGTCTTGTATCTGGCTGAATCATGTGTTTGTACAGAGGTGTCAGCTTGTGTTGTAGCAGAAATTTAATGCAGGTAAATGTGTCCCTTCCAGTCACAGTATGAATCACGATGTATTAACAAGAGCAGAAAGCAAGCAGATGTGGAGCAGATATCTCTAAATATACCTCTGAATCCCCAAGAGGTAACTATTTCACATACTACACTTGATATGTTGGCAGCATTAAAGATCCTGAGAGCTTTAAAGGGGAGTTATCTTCATAAGGGGAGTTGTGTGTTTTACTTTCCTATGCAGTGAGGAAAGGTGTAAAATGCATTAACTGAGCTGGTTTGTAAGAAATGCATAGCCATATAGGTGAAGACAGTAAAGGATGGGTAAGCAAAAATAAGAAGGGCCAGTCATGCAAGGAGCAATGTAGCACACAATGTCTGCAACTTGTAAGAGAGTGTCTTCTTCCTCCTTACACCTCAGTGTAACTGCCTTATAGAGGGTCATGTAGCCTTGCTTATACATTTTGATTATTAATGCTGCTTCTGCATAAAAAATACTGTCAGCTTTGGAAAAACACAAGTATTAGGATTATGTAGATTCCTTCTGGTTTACCATATTTTAATTGTGCTGTCTATTGAGCGTGTAGATAGTAGGGAAAAGAGAATGATGGGAATGTACTCTATAAGTCATTGCAACTTTGTATTCATTTAATGTGCATTTTCATTATTCAACTGGAATAATTTCAGGCAGCGTGTTCTGGCTCCATACAGTGTGATGCACTTCCCCTTCGGAGCATTTCTCCAGATATGTCAAGACTCGAGTCTGTTCCCAAGTGTAATATCCTCTCATCAGGTACAGATACTAATGTCTTCATGTGAGATTAAGTTGCCATCAGAGGTTTACACTCCCACTGTAATACTGTGTATAGTAGATAGTTGGATCTCCAGAAAAGAGATGTATTTTGTAAACTTAGTGCTCTGAGTTAAAAAAAAAAATAGAGAATTTAGCTGATTTTCTCTTTCTGTCACTTGAGAAATCCGCACAGCTCACAGCTTCAGTTTTCCTATACAGGATCAAGAATGCAGAGATAGCATTTACTTGTCCCGTCAGACTCTTGGCAGTTTTTTAATCATTTGTGAACTAATGCTATAGATAAAAGGACTAAATATTATCATTTTAAGGCACTCCTAAAGTTTCTCATGCAGTCTAACCTCTCAATCATTTTTGATTCAATGAATAGAACAGCTTTAATAAATAGATTACCTTGCAAAAGCATCTGCACAGACCTTTTGTATGTGTCATCTTTTCTGAATAAAAGTTGGCAAAATTCCCAGACAAAATTCAATTTTGAGGTTTTGCTGACATCAGAAGATAGAAAAATGCAAAGGGTCCCAGGTGCAACAGCAATGCATTGTGAAACTAAAACTGCACTTGAGTTTCTTCTCCTGAAAGAATGAAAACATACATTTCAAAAGAATGGAGCATCCTTTGGCTTTGCAGGGACCAGTGGTGTGAAAGCAGACAAGCTGATTGACTTCACTGCTATAAAGTAGGGCATCAAAAAGTGGGCTGAGGTGCTGCAAAACTGGAGATACTCTGGTAGAGGTAAGGTGGCACAGGCAGTTTATTTTCTAGCTCCTGTTCAAACACGTCCACAATGCTGGTATTCAATATACTAGAAAGTTACGAATACAGCAAGAATTCCATGGAAAATAAATTACAGGAGGCTTAAGGAACTGGAGTTACAGGGGGAAATGTAATTTGGCTGTACATCTACCCAAGTATTTATCTATACAGCATAAAAATCTCAAAGATGAAGAATAACTTGTGGTTAACAAGCTTAATTGGAATGTTGTGACTGAATTTAGAAAATGTAATATTGGATTGAATGTGAGTATGGACTGTTTAGTGTAATCAGATGAAATAATGATAAAACTCAGCCCTCTTCAGTACTGTTAAAAATTGTCATATCTGCTTGTAGAGGTCATTGGTGAGATTGTGGTGGTACTATTTATCTGTTTGATCAGTTGGAGGTCCTTTACAGAGTCACTGCTTAGACTTTGTGGCGTGTATGTATAGATACTGTAAAGCCTGTGAAAACTGTCTACAAAACCACACTACAGCAGCAGTGTTTGTTATTACTTTGCCAATATCTGGATCAGGTAGTTTTGTGACAGAAGGCAGGACTGACATTCTTACTGTACCTAAATTAGATGCAATTGTTTCAGGTGAAAATCTGTTCCCAGGTAGCTGTTGGCAGCAGATGAGTTGGGCATGCCATCAAGGCAGAAGTTAATGACTATAGATTTTAACTGAGTTGTTTTTTCCATCAATACATTTAAAAGACTTTTTCAGAAACTTGCTCCTTCAGAGTTAGGAAGTCTCTTCTAACTTTCAGTCTCTTTAATTTTTCTTCCCTAGCCAGCTTATACACACACTTGTTCATAGCATTGCTTTAAGCTTAAACAGCCCTTTTCCCTCTTTTCCCTTTTTATTTCTGATATAGAGAGTAATCCTTTAATATATTTTTTTTTTCTAGACAAGCAGGATAGATTCTTTTGAAGTCCGTTTGTAAAATAACCTTCTTCCTTCTCCTGGTATCCTGCTAGTCCTCCCTGTGCATGTTCTAACTGAAGTCATTGAACGAAGGCTACCAGGCATCTGCACTTAGTATTAAACCAAAATGCAGCCCATGTTTTCTTCCCAAAATAAGAACTTTATTTCATATGCCTTAGAATTTTCTTTTTCCTTTCTCACAAGATTCTTCATTATAGAATAACCTCTGTAAGGTTTGAGTTTTTTTCCTCATCGTAATTCCAGATCATTAGCCCCAGCTCGAAGTCTGATTTTCATGGTTTGTGCAAGAAAATTTGACTTCTATTACTCTAGTCTTCTCAATCAGCTAGGTTGTTTCTGAACACTTTGAGTCAACCCCATCTTTCTGAATAACACCTGTACTTTTCATCAGCTTGTTTCTATTTTTATGCTATGGTTACTGGTGAAGTTCATTCTCCTGTACTAGTACAATCCCAGTAGTTTTGCCTCTATTGCTATTAAAGATTTGTGTGTGCCTAGAGGTCTGTAACAATCTCAGCAGAGCTGTTTAAAATCCTTTTCTAAAATGATCTTTCACTCACACCGGTTGTCTCCTAATCCCTTCTCATTCACACAGTAGATAACATCTGCTGCTTCACACTATGTAGCTCTGCCCAGCTTACTTTCTGTCTTTGATGAACTGATATGCTAGTTACTGTGAGTTCTAGTCCACCAATTTTAAATAGTGAAAGTGTCATTATTTCACATTTTTCTGTTCCTGCTCCTTGCACTTACAGCCATATTCTTCCACAGGTCAACACTGATCTAGTGATACACCTTCAAATACCCCCATTGGATGGGTATCTATAGATCATGAGCTGTTGAGGAAGCTACCTGTTCTTATAGGGTCTTTAGATGTTCATTTGAACATCTTACATCTGTATCTCTGGTTCTTAGTTAACATTTCTGAAGGTCTTTATAAAGTGACACTATGAAAGTCTGTAATGAAAACTATACAGAATTAGGCATATGCCCTGTAACTGGTTTCTCATCAGCTATTTGTTATCACTTCTTTAAGTCATTACTACTGCTGCTTTCATATCCATCGTCTTTTTCTGACATAAAAATTCTAAAAATAGAAACTATTAAGTTTTCTACCTGGTAAACCCCTTCCCCCCACCCCTTTCTTTGCAAACATTTAAATGAAGCTTTCTTGAAGTCATATATTGCTCTGATGGACTACCAAAAGCTTCTTTTGGCTTCCCACTGAATGCCATGATTGGTCTTCATGTTCTTTCCCTCCACCTGAATTTTTCTTTCAATCTTTCCACCTTTGTTATGGTGACATACTTCATCAAAATAAATTAGTTGGCTTTCATGCTGACTCTTAGTACCTCTTCAAATATTTGGAGGAGTTATTTTGTTCTTCCAGTCCCTACAAAAACTTTTTGTCAAACAGAGCTTTTTCTAAAGTTCATATCTACTGAATTTATGCTCTCAATATTCTTTTAAAATAAAACAAGACCCCTAAACCTATGATCAAGCCCAGGTAAAAGATAAGGGAGATAAAGGTACTGAGAACCTTGATGTAAAAATAATGTATCTGAAGTAAACTTAGATTGTTTATGACTTCATTTATGGAATTACTGTAAATAGTCTCTGGCTGTATTTTATTTGAACATAGAAGTAATAGAGCTCGCTCTTTTTTTTTTCCTCTCGATTTTTTATAGATGGAAATTCTGGAGGTCTACACTCTCTCAGCAGTCAGAGCACAGATGAAAATATCTCTGTAACTCAGAGCGCCAAACTTCTTGTGCATCCATACAGTTATTTTCCTTCATCTGACAAGAGTATTTCAGATGCTTCAAACTCTGCATCATGTGTGCTGCAGTCGTCACCAATTCCTTCAGGTACAGCAAACACTTATTTAATTCCAAGACCCACAATAAGTGCCCTGATATATCAAATATATATGTGATTGAAATGGAAACTGCTGGCAACCTGTAAAATGAAAACAAAGCATTCTACAAATTAGGAATGCAAGTAATTCTGCTCTTGTAGCCTTATATGACAGAATAAGTAAAGCCAATGTAAAAGGCTCCTACATTTTCTCCTTTTAAGTAAATTTAATTTCTACTACCTTGGGTCTTCTTTATCCCATTCCCTTTGCTCATGTTATTTCTCTTTCCTACTACTGTAGGAGTGGCAGTGCTGCAGTCCAGCAGAACAGTAAGAGAAGTTGGCTCACACTTAACTCATCTCTTGTTGCCAACCACTTCTTCTCACATTTTAGGATTGTCAAGTCTTCCTTCTAGCAATGGCAGGGCAAAGAGAAGCAGCATCTCTGTCAGCAGCTGACCAATAATGATCATCTGTGTTAACTGAGAGCCCACTGCATGATATCTATGCATTAAATAACTGTTAAAAGTGTGCTTCCTAAAAAGGGGAAAAAAAAAAAAAAAAAAAAAAAAAGAACTTTAACACTTGAAGAATTATTCAGAAAATTTAGTTTGGTTTGCAATTTTTTTGTGGGCCACACAATAACATGAAACTTTATAAAGATCTGCTGCATCATCCCTCTTCTGGAAATATGAGAATCTGCAACTTTAACTGAGCAAATCCTCAGTTTGAGGCAAATACACAGAAAATGACAGGGATGTTTTAAGTAAACGTCAATAAAAATCTCAGGGCAAACTGAAGTCAGCACCTCTCTCTTTTTAGTACCAGGTCGGGTTGAACACTGGAACAGATTGCTCACAGAGGTTGCAGAAGTCCCATTACTTGAAGATGCTCAAAATTCAGCTGGACAAGGCCCTGAGCAACCTGATTATCCTTGAAGTTGGCCCAGCTTTGAGCAGGCCACTAGATCAAAAGTGACCTGTTTGAGGGTTCCTTCCAACCTAAATTATTCTGTGATTCAAATAAAATAAATACTCTAACCACAAAATTTGGTAAAATGGAACATTTTAAAATGAGGAGCACAACAGTGAAATGTTAAACATATATTTAATAGTCTAGTATATTTGTGACCAAAGGCAAGTTTTAAACAGCTCTTTCTCAGCTTGTTCTTGTTTCTATGGCACTACTTATTGAAAGTTACAATACTAATTTTTAATTTATTTTATTTTTAATCCTCTCCAACCTCAGATTTTGTTTTGGACACCATACAACAGAATGTAGCTCATCAATGGATCCAAAGTAAAAGAGAAGAAATTATTGATCAGATGACTGAAGCATGTTTGAATCAGTCACTGGATGCTCTTCTATCAAGATTTTTACTCATGAAAGAGGACTATGAACTTATAAGTACCAAACCTACAAGGACATCAAAAGTCCGACAACTGCTTGATACCTCAGATAGCCAAGGAGAGGAATTTGCTAGAATTATAATACAGAAGTTGAAAGATAACAAACAACTAGGACTTCAACCTTATCCAGACATTGTATCCAATTCCCTAAGACTGCACTTTTAAATTTATCCTTTCTGTATGAAACCATGTGAATATTTCTTACAACATGATTCTTCTTTCTATACAGCAGTTTTATACGTGTGCTGCTTGTTCTTTACTATGCCTTTGTAGAGTCTCAGGAATGACGTTGAGTTCATCTAGGCTGCATTTGGTGAGTTACCAGATAATCCATTGGAGTGCAGTCATAAAGCCAAATGTTTGACACGTTAACTCAATTCTTAAAATTATTTTGTTCATACATGACAAAGAAAAAAACATTAAATGTTCCCTGTTTTACATATTTGCTGTTTATACATATCCTTTCCTTTAACGCTGAAGAACTGAGACACCACATCTCAACTTTGAGTACTGGTTTTTCTCCCTCCATCTGGTCTTTTCCTATAGAGGAGAAAAAAATTTGGGTTCTGTATATGGGGTCTTGTATGCTGTGTGTATAATGAATTGTCTTCTAACACCCATACTGGTTCCTCCTCCAAAAATACTGGAGAAGAGCAGTAGGTGGAAGGAAGTTAACATTGCATTTTCACAGGATTTTTTATTATGTTTTTGTTTTGTTTTTCCCATTTTTTTGCCAGAGCAAGCACTTCAGACCACCGCATAAGAAGAATCTCATTCCAAAGAGGAGTCAGAGGGCAAGGACAACGTTGTGCTGCTCATCTTTGTTCTGTTAAGAACTGTTATATTAGAAAGGGTGCAGCTATAATCTTTTAACATTATTTGGTCACTCCTGCTTAAACTCCACTTGAAATCATAGTGTGGTGAGATCTACATACTGCTTATACAAGGGAATCCTCAGTAAATACCTCCTTGATGTTTCTTTAGTTAATGCCTTCCCTTACTTTTGTCATCTGCCATAAATGCTTCTCACCTCATGTTGGTGGATCAAACTTTTAATTCAATTTTATTTTTAGTATTTGCATGCTGAGTAGTAGTTTAGGTCTGTACAAAGATCAGGCATGCACTGCCCTGCAGGCTGGAAGTGATGTACATGGCTCTCCTGCCATGGCCTGACTTAACCTTCTCTGGACAACACCTCCCCTGTCTTTTTTTTTTGTCTGATGGATGGTGCTAACATGTTGAGGCACAAATGAAGCCACTTGAGAGGAAAAGGTACTTGATATTTTTTTCAGATAATTTCAGAAAGCCTTAGTGACTTTACCTAGCTGGCTTCAAAACTAGTAAAAAAATTACTTGTTTTAATTTGTCAGAACACAGCGCAAGCAAATGATTTTTACAAGCACTAACAAATAATTACAGATTGTTAACACTGTCTAAAACTGGGGAAAATCGAAACTTCATGTGCGAGAAAGCTGAGATCTACCTAAAGCACCATATAAAAAAGAGCAAATAAATGAGAAATCCTAAATAATGGCTGTTGGGAAAACTGTAGAGATGTGAGATCTGCTCTGTTTCAATGATTCAAGCTTCAGTGTGGGGACTACTAGTTGCCAGCAGCTTAGTATTTTCAGTATGTGTCTTACTTTGTGAACTGAATCACAAGAATACAATGTAATATTTATTGGCTAGAAAAGGATTTTTAATTTTATTTTTTTTTAAAATTAAGATTTTAGCATAAGCTGGGAATTTGCATTTTATCCTGCTGTTCTCTGAAAGCTGTGAAGTTCAGACTAGATAGCTGAGACCAGGACAACAGCGCAATGGATGGCTGTGCTTTTTGTAGAGCAGACCTGAAGATGTCTATCAGGGACAGGCTCTGAAGAAAGCTGCCACCTTCTTGCCAGTGGAAGTTTGATGCCACAACTGTGTGATTCACTGCACATCAGCTTTTAAGCCACATTTGTTCATGACAAGTAGCGCCTAGAAAAAGATTTGTGTCATGCAAAATAGCATTTCTTAAATATGTGTGCAAAATTCATTGTGTATTAGCTTTCCTGAATCATGGTCTTAGTAACTAGAAAAACAGAGGCTTCTTTAGGGGTACCTTTTCACAAGCTGATACATTGCTCTTCTAGTAGGGTATACATGAGTTGCAAACTTTGTAATTTTATTATTTTGAATTGTGTGTAAGAAGGTAAAAGCAATCCTGCTATGTGTAAAGAGCTTTGGCCTGCCAAGTGGCATCTGATGTCTCATGTTTGAAGGTCTGGACCTTCCTCCTGATTTCCCAACTCAGAAAGCAACTTCTGCCTTAGAGCAGACAGAACTCGGGCACAGCACAGATGCCATGCTTCCTACCTCTGCGTCCTGTGCACAGTACCTGATGATACCTGGACAGGCTGACAGACTGATCTGAATTTGTGATTTGTGCTGTTGATCCTTCTCAGTTGCACTCACTTGCTCACCTCTGGCATGGTCTGCAGCCTGCCACTGTGCCTGCTGTGGCTTTTCTGCCAGTGTCCCAGGAGATGTGCTTCCCCAGGAGCCATCTGCATAGGTGGAGGAGCCCCGGGCAAGAAATGGGTCAGATCCCAAAGCCATTCCAGGTGCTGCCAAGGCAGTTGTCCGCTCTCTCCATAGCAGAGAGGAAACGCTGGATATAAAAGATGAGGACGCACTGCTAGGACACCTGGCTGAGGGAAAAGAGCTTCCTACTGCTTTGTGAAGTCTCCCTGCTGACTCTTGCCCGTCAGCAAGGAACTAATATGGGGTCAGTTGATAATGATAAATCTGGCCTACAGATTTACATTCAGGAATGGTGGTGTCCTTCTGTTGGAATCACTGTGGGCTGCCCCTCTTCATGTGCCATCACCCAAATGTGGCACAGTTTGTAGGAAAATGAATTTTCTACCCCCAGTCCTGAATGCACATGCATCTCTAAAGCCATGAGTGTTGTTCTAGCCAAAGCCCAGCCCTCCAAGAAAACCCTGAGGCCACTCGATGGATGAACTCCATCCTATCTCCCTCTTCTTTCTTGGACCCTTCTCCATGAGGACGTAGAATCCAACAAGTTAAGCATGCACAGATTTCTTCAAGAGCGAAATGGAAGAGGGAGCAGCCTCACTCAGGACTCAAGGGATCCAGAAGAAGGGGTAAGGAGAAAGCTTCGGGCTAGGAATGGGGAACGGGAGGTGGAGGCTGGGTGCCTGATCCACACAGGGTGTGCAAAGGGTGTGTGGAGATGACAGATGTAGGAGCCAGTAAGTCAGTCTGCCACTTCTGTTGCTTAACTCCAGGCCTGTGAAAGAGGAACAGAGTTTCTGTGCAACTTTAACACTCAGCACTGCTTATAACTACGGCAGCAAGTCCAGGGTCAGCAAGGGCAGTCGGGCACAATCGTTCTTTTTTACACTACCCATCCTGCTTACTCGGGATGCAAATAGGTGTAATCTTCCTTTGCAAAGGAACTAGATTTTGTGTTCACGCAAGAAGCGTTCAAGAAATAGATGTTTTTCATGCACACTGCGTGCTTTATGATTGCTCAATGCTGATTTATGCGCTGTTACTTCTAAATTTGTGTGAAACATCAAGTAGGAGGCAATTCTCAGGGTCAGACCAATAGCAATATGGGAAGCGTTAATGAAAAAAATCTTTAGTTTCGTGTTCCAACATGCAGCCTCTACAGAACTAAAACAGAGGGGTGAAGCTGGCACAGGAGCTATATGAACTATAAAGGTGCTCTCCAGCTCTAAGAGACAACAGATGTCTGATGGCAGAGAACCTCAGAGTAGTACACAATCTAAAATAAACAGTTTGATGCCCTAAATCAGAAACAGATTCAAGTTCAAATTTCAAAGTGAAATTTATTACACATTCTTGAAAATGAGCATCCTGGTTTTAAGGCTATAGTTTGTTAACACTGCCCTGACAAAACAAAAAGATTTTACCTTGACAGAGGCCCTGATTAAGGAGTGTTGTTCAGCCTCTTTGTTCCTTCAGCAGAGAACAACATCCCTGCAAAACTATTCTGTTGCCAGAATGTTTCTTGATATAATTATAAGTACGTAAGCAGGATTGCAGGCAGCTGGAATTGTGCAATCTTTTCAGGCAGACTTAGAGAGTTCTCAGGGATAAATAACTGCCCTTCACAGATGGGAAACTAACTTGGAGTCGGTTTATTCAAAATACTTGTCATATACTTGCTTTGAGCAGTGCTTTTTAAAAGCACAGCCATTTCTGTGTGAATATTAACTATAGACCTGTCTCAATCTAGCAAAGAAAGCATGCTTTTACAAGATGTTACTTTAAAAGGAAAGAGTAGGAGGAGCACTGACTTACAATAGAAAGATTTGGGTTGTTTTTATTATTCAGTTGGGTCACTGTGGGTTACGGCATGGAATGTGCAAGATGATGCAACTCTCTTGCTTGTTTCCCAGTTGGATTATTGAAGCTGATTGGAGGGATATCTGTGCTTGAATTAAATTTTTTCACTTTCCTGTGTGGATTAGTGAAATTTTGATAAGTCCTGTTATAGAGTGCCTCAATTCAGTCTTAAGACACAATCCAGTGGATCAGCTCCTTCCAGGTGCCCTTTGGTATGTGTTCTTGCATTCATTAACTTTTTGCTCTTAATTTTCTGGGTATTGTTTCAGTAGATATTGTGCTGTATACTGGACTGGCTTTACAAAAGTACTTCATAAGACAGGGCAGCATATAGTTTCAGAAGACAAGGCTAAATACATCTGGTAAGTAATTTGTTTCTTTGTTTATTTCTTATCTTGGAAATTTTTTAAGCTTCTTTAATTAAAATACAATCTTAGCACCAGATCAGCCTCTTTTGTGTATTGTGTATCATGCATCATATCATAAATTATTAGAAAAGCCTCAGTTATATAATTCTCCAGTTAAGGAAAATAACTGAGTTGATAAATCTTTAACAATGGGTAGATTAAATTTCAAAAAATATATGAAAAAGAGTAAACAGAAAAGCATTAACTTGTTTGAAATTAAATAATAGCTGTAATTTTCAGTTAACTATGACTTTTTGCTTGTCTCCCCACTGGGAAAAACTTTTTGTTTTGTCAAATTATGCCAGGAAAATAAGCATCTTCTTTGTGTACATTGTTAGTAGAAAGTCTCCCTGTGGCTTTCTAAATTAACAAGAA